TATACGTGTTGCCCCACACTTCTATACAATAAATGAAAAATGGCAAAATGAGTGAACAGTACAACATCCTCAATGCCTTGTAATCTAGCAAACACTTTGCCTTGTTTAGAACAGAAATATTCCTAGACACTTTGGTTTTAACATGTGCTATGTGTGATTTCCATGTCAGGTTTTCATCCAGCGTCACACCTAAGAATCGAAATTCAGAAACCCTTTCAATAAAAACTCCATCAATGGACAGTGAAATGTTTTCATCTTTTTTTCTATTAGCAAAAACCATAAACTTCGTTTTATTCAAATTTAGGGTTAACTTATTTTCATCAAACCATCTTTTAAGTTTGACCATTTCATGTCCAATACACTTTGCTAAAATGTTGAAGTCATCTCCTGAACAAAATAAATTTGTGTCGTCTGCAAACAACACGAATTGCAATAATGTTGACGTTTCACATATGTCATTGATGTACAAAATAAAAAGTTTAGGCCCTAAAACCGAGCCCTGCGGTACACCACATTCGATGTTCATACACTCCGATGTACTACCAGCAAATTCTACATATTGTTGTCTGTTATCTAAATAACTTTTTAACCAATCTAGAACTACTCCTCTCACTCCGTATCTATGTAATTTAGAAATTAATAGGTAATGGTCTATGGTGTCAAATGCCTTTTTTAAGTCAATAAATACACCTATTGTGTATTTCTTTCTTTCTATAGCTGTTGTAATTTCTTCTGTTATTTTCATTAAAGCTAAAGCTGTCGATCGATTTTTCCTAAATCCATACTGACTCTCACTCAATAACTCATTTTTTTCAATAAAATTATCAAATTTTTGGACAAACAATTTCTCAAGGACCTTTGAAAATTGTGAAAGCAAGGACACTGGTCTGTAGTTGGTAAATTGGCTTTTGTCCCCTGTTTTAAAAAGTGGGATAACTTTAGCTATTTTCATGCTATCTGGGAAAATACCTGTCTGAAATGAAAGATTAAAGATGTAGCTTAGCGGTTTAATTATGCAGTCAATAGTCGTTTTCACTATTGTCATGACGATCCCATCACTATCTGTCGAAGTCTTATTTTTGCATTTGTCTACAATGGATCTAATTTCAATTTCGTTTATCTCTCCCAGAAACATTGACTGCAACACTTTACTTCCCCCAATTCCGCCATCCTCTTTTTGCCCATCGTGTTGTTTTGGAATAGTCTTTGCGAGATTAGGTCCGACATTTACAAAAAAGAGTTGAATTCATGTACCACTTCATTCATGTTTTTTACAACCTTATTTTTGTCATCAATGAAGTGACTGGGCAGGCCAGTGGATACACATTTATTTCCAATAACATTATTTAAGATTTTCCATGTGCCCTTGATATCATTTTTCTTTTCTTTTAACATATTATTATAATATTCTCTTTTTGCTTGTCTCATTATAACTGTCAACTTGTTTTTATATGCCTTGTATTGCTTTTCAATTGCCTTCGTCCTAAATGTTATGAAGTCTTTATAAAGGTTATTTTTCTTCTTGCAAGCATTTTGTAAGCCCTTGGTTATCCAAGGCTTTTGATGATAAGTACCTTTATATGTACGGAGTACAGTGGGACAATGTTTGTCATACAGTGATATGTAGATTGTTAGGAAGGACTCAAATGCAGCATTTACATCTTCTACATAAACCCCTCTCCACTCTTCCTTTAAGAGGTCACTCCTAAATGTGTCTTTTGCTTCAGCAGTCTTTACCCTGACATATCTACTGCGAGTCTCTTCCTTCTTTTTCTTTAATTGCCAATCATATGCTACAAATACAGGTAAATGGTCGCTTATGTCATTTATTATTAGCCCACTCTTAGCACTGTTTTCCATGACATTTGTAAAGATATTGTCGATCAATGTTGCACAAGTTGATGTTACTCTACTGGGCTTAGTGATTAGGGGATAAAGCCCCCTGCTGTACAAAGCATCCAGGAAATCAGAAGTTGTTTTGTGTTTAGATACATTTAGAAGGTCGATGTTAAAATCCCCACAAATAATACATGTTTTATTTTCATTTAGGCCATCCATTAATACTCCTAAACTATCTTTAAAAAACTCTACATTTGATCCTGGTGCTCTATATGCACAAGTCACAACAACATTTCTCTTCCTTTCCATTTCAATTTCTATAGTTATGCATTCCATTAAATCATCAGTCACAATTGACATTTTTTCAACCAGTGTGCATTTTAGGACGCTGTCCACATAAAGAGCCACACCCCCTCCTCTCTTATTGGTTCTGTTGATATGGTGTAGCACGTAACCCTACATTTGGAAATCAGTGACTTCGTCTTTATTTAGCCAAGTCTCCGCTATGGCAATTACTTTGAATTTACTTTAAATGTATGTAGGTATTCAGTGATCTTATTATAGTTTGCATACAGACTCCTGCAGTTGAAATGTATTAAAGAAAATGTATTTTCAAGTCCAACATTGTCATTAAATTGATCATCGGTATAATATTTACACGAGTCACTTATATGATTAAACACATGATTCTCTGAATCGACATCATAATCAAAATTGTACATGTTATACTCTGTGTTGTCAAATCTGGAAAAGATTCCGAGTGGCTCAGTCATTTATGTGTTGTTTTTGTTTTCCATGTACGTCTGCAAGGAGTTAACTCCCTCCCCACATACCTGTTCATTCCTTTGCTCTTTCATGCCGATCAAGCGAGTCAATTAATGTCTTTACGTCCGACATCAGCTCACATCCTGGGGTTCTCCGGTTCCTGGAGCGGTGTGTCTGCCATCCTGAAGCCTGAAGAGTAGACTCCAAGTCCGGTTCTCCTGCTGGACTCTCCATGTTGACACCATACTCCAGTAGACCCTGTGCCGCATCTTGTGGGTTGTTAAATAATACAAGTGGCCATGAAATAAGCATGAGCTAAAATGTGTGCCATATCTTTTGGCCCCCTCTGGGTGATACTTCCTGTAGTGCATAGTAAAGAATAATGTATAACACACAGTGCTGATTATGTCTTCCATGTGGCATAATATTTGGAGTGCATGCTGTCCTCATTCTGCCAGTCATGGCATCATCCTCTGTGAAGTGAACAGTTAAGTGACTGAAGATTATTTAGCTCTAACTTTAGCTCTGTCCAGGAGCCACTGAATCGAATTGATTTGGGGTGAAAAGCTGCATTTATTTATTTATTTATTTTATTTATTTTTTTATATGTGAATCTAGATGGCTGCATCCTTTAAAAAAAAAAAAAACAGGCTTGAGTTTTTTTTACAGCAGTAGTTGAGTGAGATGAGTGTCATTCTTTAGATTTTTATGAGCCCCTGGTTTTCTTAAAAAATCAAAACCTCATTTGTTTTCTCAACAATTTAAGGTTATCAATCCACAGTCCACCTCACTTTCGACCTCAGCTGCACTCTGGGAATGTAAAAGGGCTTTGTACCCCAGAAATGGTGCCAGTTGGCATCTCCTGCCACTTTTGCTAGTTTATTCAATAAGGGGATAGTGTTTGCAAAGTGCCTATCAATGGCAGAGTACTTAAAGAACCCACAGGGGTATAAGGATTTCCATTCCAAACTAGGCCATTTGTTTGTGGTTGTGTGTGTTGTAAATGCGTGATGTGCTGTCTATCTCTGCACACAGGCTGTCTGTCTCTGCTGTGTAGGTTTGATGATGATGTACGCATGTGAGAGACACAGGGCTGTCTTTGTCTGTGCACTGCTTAAGCTGCTTTGTGCCTGAGTGCTCCACGTGCACAGGGACCTTTGTCATCCTTTGGAACAAGCAACCCCCTTGTGTCTGCATCGCTGTTTGCTGACCATCGGAAAATACACAATAAAACGGTTTCAGGCGGCACCCTGCTCACGCCGGGCATCTGTAAATACTCTTCATATTTGAGAGAGGTCTGGAAAAGGCTCGGGCCATGGACCCACGTCGATGCCTTTTCAAAATGCCAGAGCTAAGCTCTGCTGCAGCGATGAATGACCCCTCGACACACAGACAGTGCCAGGCAGATGCTCTGTTGTCCGAACAGAGAACAATATGTGAATAGGGTACAGTGACCAGCAACATTAAACTGCTGAATAATACAAGTGTCTGAATGTGACACAATGTGTCCATTCAATCAGTCTCATTACATGCTGTTAACAAATCCACAGTCACAGCATGTTTGTACGCTGACTCTATTAACCTTCCCATTTCAGTGTCAAGCGTGCTCTGGTTATTCTACTGAGAAGTTTTATCTTCCAAACATTTCCTGTTAACTGTCCCACTTACAAAACGTTTGCAGTCTTAATGGATGTTTATGTTAAATGTATTAATGTCAATGCTTTTTCCCTCAAAAGTGTGTATCTGATGTGATCATTCACATTGTTTTGTGACACAATAAACACTTTTTTTACCATATTTTTTTATGCTTTTTTTGGCAATATTTCCTTTTTAAATTAACCTTGTATTACTAATGTAGTTTATTTGTATTCAAATACTTTTTTTTATAGTTTAGTGAGGAAGTTATTTCACTTTTAAAGATATATCTTTATAGTTTAATAGTTTGAATTTTGATGAAGCCTTTATGACTAAACGGAAATGGGGAAATCATTTATAACCTTTTAGCACGTTTCATACTTATTATGCATTATACAATGATTATAAGTTACTACTTTAAGTGCTAATTTGGTGTTCTAGAGAGAAATCAAATCAGGTATCTTCACCTTATAAGTCATTATAAAACGTCTTATAATGTGTTATGATTATTGTTCTAAACATTATAAATGTTGTCCTAATCACTATACTTATACAGTGCTACAGCATAAGCAGATCATAAGGTTTATACCTAAGTGTATAATGCATTATAGACATGGGGCTCATAGGAAGTGTCCCCCCTTTAAACTTTACATTAACAGTTTTGATCAAGTGGTTCTGTAACTGCTTTGTGAATGTACAGTAAATGTGGATTCACGTTGGTCCTGGGCACTGTTTCAATATGTACTTGTGTTGTGTTGCAGGTGCACAAGCAGCCAAGAAGTCGGGTATCCCAGCTCCTAGAGAAATCCCTTCTTCCATAACAAGAGACCGCATCTCTCTGAGGGACCAGCTCAGGAGCAATGCCACTAAAAAGATGGTTTCCAGTGCCAGCACTTCCAGCCTCTCCACTCTGGCAAAGCCCACACGTAGTTCAACCACAAAGTCCCGTGGAGATGCCGAGAGCCAGGAAAGGGGCCTACTGGAGACCCAGGTGAAAGAGCTGCTGGCTGAGGCCAAGGCCAAAGAGTTAGAGATCAGCAATCTCAGGATAGAGTTGCACCGCTGCAAAAGTAAAGCCTCCAGCGCTCCCTCTTCACCATCAACCAATTGTGTCTCGTGGGAAGAGCCTGATGCAAATGGAGAGCAGGGACAGATGTCAGAGGCCATCGTGCTGGTTGGGGAGCTGAGGGAGAAGAACGGGAAGTTTCAGAGAGAGCTGGCAACACTTAGGGAGGAGAACCAGACACTGAAAGAGAAGCTGCTTTTCTTGGAGGCCTCTCCTCTCTCTAGTACAAACACAAGCTCCCTGTCCAAGCCTCTGGTGAATGGCCTCCCCTCAGATTCCTTAAATCCACAACAGGACAGTCGCTCTTCTCCTGCCAGCCCTCTGAAGTCCTCCGTCTCCTCCGGTTCTGACATCACCAAGGACTCACCATCACCCGACTCCTCAGAGTTTGAGAAGATCCCCTCACGGTCAGAGTCAGAGAGTAGCGGAGTCAGCGGAGGGCAGGATGTGCAGAGGTTGACAGAACAGATCCACAAGATGGAGGAGAGCCACCACAGCACAGCGGAGGAGCTGCAGGCCACTCTGCAGGAGCTGGCCGACCAGCAGCAAGTGGTGCAGGAGCTGACGGCTGAGAACGAGCGCCTGGCCGAGGAGAAGCGCCTCCTGCAGACCTCCCTCCAACAGCAGAGGGAGCGCGTGGAGGTGCTGGTCCAGAAGAAGGAGGCGCTCGCTGGCCGCCTCCAGGAGCAGGTCGAAGCCCAGGTCCAGAGGGAGGAGGAGCTGGGCAGCCAGGGGCCCCGGCTGGCCGAGCTGGAGCAGAGGTACAGTGAGCTGGTGGAGAGCTCGAGCTTTGAACGAGAGAAGCTGGTGGACATCCAGCAACAGCTTACAGGCAGCCTGCGGGCTCTGGAGGAGGAGCACCAGGAGGCCCAGGGCCAGGTGCGCCTCGTCAGAGAGGAGATGGATAAGCTGCAGGCCCAGCTGGACAGAGAGCGGGAGGCTGGAGCTCAGGCAGCACTGGCTGCAGAGGAGCAGTGGGCCACAGCAGACTGTCTCAGACTGGAGAACAGTAGGCTGAAAGCACAGGTGGACATTGAAAGGCAGAAGGTGGGTGAGCTGAAGGCCCTGCAGAGTGCCGGTGACAGCAGTGAGGTGCAGAACTTGCTGAAAACAGCTCACGCCGAGAGAGACAGGCTGGAGGTGGAGCTGACGGAGCTGAGGCAGGAGCTGCTGGAAGCCCAAGCCGTCACTGAGCATGTGCGAGCCACAATGTGCAAGGTAGGAGGGGTACAAGCTTATTTTATTATTACTTATTTATAGTATAAGATTACTTTACCTTTGTTGTATATTTACATGTTTCCTACGCATAATTTGATTTGTATTAAAATGCCATTGTTTTCGTGGCATTGAAAAATCTGTTAGAAAAAGAAAAACATGAAATGCCTGTTGCAATAGCATCAAGCAGATATGTATATTGAACAAATTCCAATAAAATGTGTCTTTCATTTAGCTCCAAGTGGCATTCAAAAGTCTTAAATTGAATTTGCCTTAACTTTCAAGAACAGAGCCTTAGTTTAAGGGATTGGTAATGAGTGTATGTGCGTGTTTGAGCTGAGGAGAATCATAAAACACACTTCATGCAAGTGAGAGAGAAAATATAAATAAATACACCCACTCCACTGTTCCAACATTCTGGTCAAAATAGTGCCTTAATTCACTGAACTCGATGTAAAAATGTGCCGGAGACACATGTCCCTGACACATGGAGCAGCTGGGGATCTCCAAAAGACGATCAAAGATCTTCCTGGGATTATTGAAAAGCATTTTTTCTGTATATGGCCATCCTTAATAAGTATTTATCTCCCAATATGACATTTTCTTTATTTGAATACGATATTTGGAGACAAATGTTGTGAGCAAAGATTCCGATCAGTCTATTTAAAACTTGACATCTCTTCATTGGTTGGAGAATGTCACTGCCCAGTACAAACTATTTACACTTGGCTGCTTCTATTGTTGTGTGTGTATACACCGTGACTTTAATTATATGTGACTCACTGTTGAAACGTTTTGTTATGTCAGTTAGAGCTCTTTGTCTTGAGTTTGACAAAATTGTCAGGAGGTCCCTAAAGAACAATCTCTTCATCCACATTTACTGTATAATTCAAAAGAAGCAGAGAGACAGGTTCACATGATTTTGTTCATATTTTTTACATAAAATACAATCCATGTCAGGAATAGATGTAAAAGAGACCAACATGTTGTATCATTAGTCTAGTAATGGCAAATAATTTAAATAAAATGTTACTTAAACCAGGCGACTATAACATATGTAATCATTCTTGGCTCTGTCACCACCTATTGAAAGTGAACTTGACCACACTTCTTTTCCAAAAGGGTTCAAACCTGACCATTAAACTGGCTTTACAGCTGTTATTGGGGCCTTTTCTTCACCATCACAGCACATTAACTCATGTCCCCTCAAATAGTTTTCGTATGATTCTCTGTCATCACTTTGGTTTTCCCCTCAAACACCACCAACACCACAAAGGCTGACGCTGTGTGGGTTTGAAGTCATGTTCGTGGTTGTTGACTCCAAATTGAGGCGTGTCCTCGTCATTTGAGTGATGTCGTCATTGTTGGATTGTGATCGTGGTGCCAGTAAGGTGGTCCACTAGTATGTGACCCTGTGAGTCACGCTCCTGTTCTGGCCCACATGGGTGATGCCATTCCATAACTACACATCCTAATCCATCAGAACCACATGGTGTCCTTCAGAACTACATCACTTACTTCTTTTTAGTATACCCTGCTCACAGAGATCTGCTCTACAGTGTCACTTCTCAGTATGACAGCAATCCACATGGTACACTGACTTCAGCTTCAGTGTAATTGGAAGTTAATGCAATAAACATGTTGAGGCAGTCACATCCAATAAAGACAGCACAGCAACGTTTTAGTTCAATGAGTCACAGTCCCCACTCATGTCAGTATTTACTCTGTGGCCAAATAGTCATTGTCAGACAAAGTTAAGCTAGCACAGTGCTTAACTTTGTGGAGTGTGTAGGAGAGAAACTCCCCCTGGTGTGAACTTTGGGATTTTAGCCTTGGCAAACCATTGCAAAAAAAAGCCTATACAACAAGGGAATACTCCAAAAAGCATATACGGACCTCTTTAAGTAAGCTGTGGAATCTAGGGGGAAAACAATCTATTGCTTGACCACCAAGAGTTGTCTGTGTATTATGTGTAGCAGTAACATCATGATGATGCAATGGAATAATACCATAACATGTTTCAAGTCTTAAATCATCTCCCTCAAAGAAATTATAGGACAGATTTTATATATCTCATCTTTGAAATCCTTCAAGAACAACTGGAACACTTCCCCACATGATTTCTGGAAGATCTCATAAATGATTTGCCCTTACTGAGCCTGGAGTGCTGTTGAGTGCTTTGATGTAATTAGTGCAGTGACAGCCAGCAATTACTCTCACATGAAACACTGCCACTTTGTTTTAACTATATCTGAACTAACTCATAATAATCTCACAAATGCACACACACACACACAGGTGGAGGCCAAATGCCAGCAGGTTCAGGAGCGGGCCGAGAGGAGGGAGCAGGATCTGGGCAGCCGGGTGACTTCCCTGGAGGAGGTCGGGGTCCACGCTGAGAACCAGGTGAAGGAGCTGAAGGAGACCATCTTTGAGCTGGAGGACCAGGTGGAGCAGCAGAGGGCCGTCAACTGCCACACCAAGCAAGCCGTCCTGGACATGGAGAGTATGTTACTCTCACTGGATGTTTTTTGTTCCATTTTGTCTGTCCTCTTTTGTACAAAGGGAATTCATAAAAGATTAGAAATATTTCTAAAACCACCATAAAGTGAAATCAGTAACTTGATGAAGGTAGGATATATTAGAATCAAAATACTTGTATTTATCCTGGGGGAAATAGATTTTTGTGACAGTTTTGACCTTTTAGGATAGAATAAAATAAAATATAAATAATGTTTTTAAAGGAATACAAAATTATTTACGTACACATCAGAAGTTAAAGTAAGAATATGCAATACAATTATATCAATATATTTATATAAAAATAAGTGGATTCAGTTAAATGGCCGATGCAAATATGTATATTAAAATATGAAGTTAACAATAAAAGATTTGCAGAGTTTACAACTAAATATGATATGTTTATCACAATATATACAGTGGTGTATTAGTATTTAAAATATATCAATGCTGAATTGCACAGTTTAAAATGGCTTGGCTTTTGTATCAGAGGGCATTATTTTAAATGACTGCAGTTCTGCCTAAAGTTCACAGTACGTAAGACATGTGGTTCTCAAAAAAACGTGTATCTATCATTGCAGATCTTGTCAAAAAGATGGAGGAGCAGAAAGTAGAAGCAGACCGCCATATGAAAGTCTTGAGTAGACAGGTGAAGGTAAGAAAGCTTTATTATGTAGCTCCTTTCATAACATCTGTGGTGACATGATTTGTTTTTGAACATCTGAAATCAATGAGTGTTGCAGACTTAAGTCACATGATAGGTGTTTCAAATAGAATATAGAAGAAAGTTCCAAAAGTTAAAACAAGAAATGTCCTAACACAGTTTTGACTTTGGAAATCAGATGTATCTTTGACAGACTTCTCTAACACATCTACCTTTCTGTCTTCTTCTCTCTCTCTCTGAACCTTCAACCATGTTGTAAAAGTATAAATACTCAAGAAATAAAATGCTCTACTTCGGCCAGGTTGTCTGAGCTTAGAGATATCTATACCATGACACAGAAGCAGTGCATTTACAGTTACCATGTTGTAGTGAAGTTCTGAGTGATTGGAACCAAAGATATAAACATACCGACACCAGAGATTGGTTTCAGTGATGCATTGAAAGTTGGTCTGGAAGTGTTGATGCCTCTCTGGGTAGATTATCACTTTAAGGCCTAGTGCCAGGATTTTGCTGTGTTTTTGCCAAATGTATGACCTTGGAGTCATCTATCCGAGTGTTATTCCAGTAGCATCCAGATGGGCTGTTCAGACAGGCAGTTATCTATTTTCTTTGGTATTGATCCATTAACAACATTTCTGCTTTTTCTTGTTTTGATGAATTATGCATTTTGGAATGCACCAGATACCACTTTCCTTTTTCCATTTTGTACAATCCTTTCAGTTATCTTTAAAACTGCCTCTACCGTCCTGCCTAAATGTTAAATAATGGGCACCCAAGATTCAGTAGATGCTGAAGAAAAAGATATATATTTTATTTTAAATGGATCTTTTCCCAAAAACAAAACTACATGGTACTGATCTCTGCTTTTACAACATTGATTGTAGGCCTACATATTGTTTTTCTTTTCAGTGCCAAGGGCTCTCTACTATCTTTTAGCATTACATTACATTACATTGCATTTAGCTGACGCTTTAATCCAAAGCGACTTACAATAAGTGCGTTCGACCAACAAAATACAAACTTGAAGAAAACAGAATCATATAAGTACATCATGCTTTATAGAGCAAAAACATTTCAAGTGCTACTCAACTGGCTTTAGATAAGCCAGCCCTTTATTAGTATATAAGTGCTTTGTTAATAGTTCAATCGCTTGAAGTGGAGTCGAAAGAGATGAGTTTTCAGTCTGCGCCGGAAGGTGTGTAAGCTATCTGCTGTCCTGATGTCAATGGGGAGCTCATTCCACCATTTTGGAGCTAGGATAGCAAACCCACGTGTTTTTGCTGATGGGAACTTGGGTCCCCCTCGCAGTGAGGGTGCAGCGAGCCGTTTAGTTGATGCAGAGCGGAGTGCACGCGCTGGGGTGTACGGTTTAACCATGTCCTGGATGTAGGAAGGGCCAGATCCATTCGCAGCATGGTACGCAAGTACCATTGTCTTGAAGTGGATTCTAGCAGTTATCGGAAGCCAGTGAAGGCAGCGGAGGAGCGGCGTGGTGTGGGAGAATTTAGGAAGGTTGAAGACCAGGCGAGCAGCTGCATTCTGGATGAGCTGCAGAGGTCGGATGGCACATGCAGGTAGACCAGCCAGGAGGGAGTTGCAGTAGTCTAGGCGTGAGATGACGAGAGTCTGGACCAGAACCTGCGTCGCTTTCTGGGTCAGCTGAGGACGTATCTTCCTGATGTTGTAAAGCGTGTATCTGCAGCAACGGGTTGTAGCAGCGATGTTTGCAGTGAAGGACAGGTTGTTATCTAGGGTCACACCCAGATTCCTTGCAGTCTGAGTCGGGGAAACAACAGAGGTGCCGATGTTGATTGTCAGGTCAAGAGTGGGACAATCTTTTCCCGGGAGGAAGAGCAGCTCAGTCTTGTCAAGGTTGAGCTTGAGGTGATGATCAGACATCCACTGAGAGATGTCAGCTAGACAAGCAGAGATGCGTGCGACAACCTGGGTCTCTGAGCGGGGAAAGGACAGAATTAATTGGGTGTCGTCAGCGTAGCAGTGGTATGAAAAACCATGCGGGCTAATGACTGATCCGAGCGAGTTTGTGTACAGGGAGAAGAGGAGGGGACCAAGAACAGAGCCCTGAGGGACCCCTGTAGTTAATTGACAAGGGTCGGACTCGGACCCTCTCCAAGTAACCCTGTGCGGTCTTTCAGGTATGAGGTGAGGAGGGAAAGTGCAGAGCCTGAAACTCCAAGTGCTTGGAGAGTGCAAAGGAGGATCTGATGATTCACTGTGTCGAATGCAGCAGACAGGTCCAAAAGGATGATGACAGAGGAGAGGGAGGCTGCTTTAGCAGTGTGCAGTTCCTCAGTGACAGCAAGGAGAGCAGTTTCTGTGGAGTGACCTGCCTTGAAACCAGACTGGTGCGGATCCAGAAGGTTGTTCTGATGGAGATAGCAGGAGAGTTGTCTAAAGACAGCGCGTTCAAGTGTTTTAGACAGGAACGGGAGGAGAGAGACAGGCCTGTAGTTTATAACATCAGACGGGTTGAGAGTGGGTTTCTTTAGGAGAGGGTTTACTCTTACCTCCTTGAGGTAAGAGTAGAAGACCAGAAGTTAGAGAAGTGTTGATGAAATGGGTGAGAAACGGTAGAATATCAGGAGCGATAGTCTGAAGGAGGTTTGAAGGGATAGGGTCCAGAGGACAGGTGGTAGGGCGGGCAGAGGTAATGAGGGTAAGAACCTCACTTGGAGAGAGAGGGGAAAAGGAGGTAAGTGTGTTGGTGGAAGGAGGGTCTGGTGACCCAGCGGTGAGTAAAGGTGAGTCAGAAAAAGAAGAGCGAATATCATCAACCTTTTTTTCAAAGTGGTTAACAAAGTCGCTTGACAGAATGGAGGAGGGGGAAGGGGCTTTTGGAGGGTCCAGGAGGGAGGAGAAGATGGAAAATAGTTTTTTGGGATTGGAATAGGAAGATTGGAACTTATCTTGAAAGAAAGTGCTTTTTGCCTGAGAGATCGAAGCAGAGAAAGAGGAGAGGAGAGCTTGATAGGTTAGGAGGTCGTCACGGTGTTTGGATTTCTACCGTTTCCGCTCTGCTGCCCGAAGGACGGTTCTATTAGCACGCAGTGCGTCAATTAGCCAGGGAGCAGGAGGGGACTGACGAGCCTGCCGAGATGTGAGAGGACAGAGAGAGTCCAGAGAGGATGAGAGAGTAGAGAGGAGAGTTTCTGCAGCAGAGTTTGGAGGTAGGAGTTGGAACGAGTCAGAGGAAGGGAGGGCTGAGAGCACCGATGAGGCAAAGGTAGAGGGGGAGAGGGAGCGAAGGTTACGGCGGACAGGTGCAGGATGGGAAGAGATTAGTTTGTTATGTTTGGAAAGGGGTAGAGAGAATGAAATGAAGAAGTGATCGGATGTGTGGAGCGGGTTTACAGTTAGGTTAGAAGTAGTGCAGTTCCTTGAGAATATGAGATCAAGGACATTGCCAGCTTTATGAGTTGGTGGGGACGGAGACAGTGAGAAAGCAAAGGCGGTTAACAGAGATGTTAGTTCGTCTATCTTCTCCGTCTGGAGGTTGAAGTCTCCGAGAAGTACAGCGGGAGGACCAGTTTCAGGGATGTGTGAGAGGAGATTATCTAATTCCTCCAAGAAGTCCCCCAAGGCGCCTGGTGGACGGTAGAGAACAACAATGGTTAATTGTATAGGATGGGTTACTTTGACGGCATGGAATTCAAAGGTGGAAGGAGTGAAGTTAGGTAGCTTGAAGAGGGAAAAGCTCCATTTGGGAGAGAGCAGGAGACCAGTGCCACCTCCTCTGCCAGTGGGTCTAGGTGTATGGGAGAAGGAATATGCTGTGGAGAGAACTGCTGGGGTGGATGTGTTGGATGGAGTAATCCACGTCTCAGTGAGAGCAAGGAAATCCAGAGACTGCAGGGAGGCGTAGCCAGAGATGAAGTCAGCCTTAGGAACAGCTGACTGGCAGTTCCACAGGCCGCCTGAAACTAGAGGTTGGATCTCAGTGGAGCATGTGGGATAGACGAGAGCAGGCCGGTTATATCGATTACGAGATACACGGTGCCAGTGATAATTGCGAGAAGACACATAAACAGGAATGGAGAAAATACACATGATTATAGCATGAGGGGCTAAACAACCAAAGAAAATAAAACACCAGCGATACTTAGCTCAATCAGAGTAGGATTTGCCTCCCTCGTGACTCCTGCAGGACTCTAATGTCTTTGCCAGTCTTACTCCCGCAGGACTCTAATGTCTTTGCCAGTCTTAGCCTCAATAGCCTGTCTGACGCTGGAGCTGATGCTCCAGGAAAGTGCTACCTAAAATGGACACCTGATTGCTGAGTTCTCACAGCTGTGGGGCAACGTCCCTTTAATTAGTTAAAAAAAAATTAGTTAACTCTCTGCAGCTGGTGGCCCTCAAAAGGAAATCTAGACTGGCTTCCTCCTGATGTGTTATTGTCTTTTAAGTCAATTACATTAAACCCTAAGTTATAAAGTTATGAGTTTAACCCTTAATACAGTTACACCTACTCAATAAAGCTCTTAGTATTCTACAAATGTTTAAATCAAAGTTAACCCTAGCAATCAGTTAGTTCACTTTTAAGGTTTCAGTCAAATTACTTGTTCCCAAGTTTCTGCCTGACAGATAGTGTAGCGGTTTTGAGATTTAAAATCACAATTTCAGTCAGATCAACTTCAGAGCATTGATACAGAGTACACACACTGAAACAGAGAAGTCTAAAAACACAATGATACTCACACAATTCTAGAAGTCTCCAGTAGCTTTCCTGTCAAAATCGAGTTGCACACAGTAGCAGTTATTATTATGAAGCAAACAGCCGCTGTTTTTCCCTCTCCCTTTGGATTGCTTTTCTGATTTGTTTTGTGTCTGTAGGAGATTTAAAAACATATCAAGCCATAGATTTTTTGGTTTTGGGTTATTTTTTACTTCAACATATCTATGTTCCAAAGACTGTGAAAGTGCTAACTTTTTTGACACAGTCATTTTCCATGATAGTCATATCGTTTTTGATGCCTTTATAAATGCCAGGGTTTTTTTTTTGTAAGTAGATGATAAAGTAAATAGTTGTATCCGTTAAATGAACCTAAATTGAACTAAATCCCAAGTGCACAAACACTTCCTGTGTTTGTATGAAATGTCCTGAATGTTTCTATACTTGCCTGTGCTGAATAAATCCATATGTTTGTGTGTTTAGGATGAAAAAGAAGAGTGGCGTCGGTTCCAGGCGGACCTCCAGACAGCCGTGGTGGTGGCCAACGACATCAAGGTGGAGGCTCAGCAGGAGCTGCGTGCTCTCCGGAGACAGCTGCAGGAGGAGCAGGATCGCAGCGCCAAGCTCTCCACAGACCTGGAGGCCCTGCAGGGTGTCAGGTACCAGCTCCATCATAATGCATTTTGTTCAGTTCCTCCACCGTCCCCTAAACCCCTCTGGGATCCCCTTGTTTAGCATCGGGCTGCAGCTCCTTTCTCTCTCAACACAACGTGGGTATGAGATACCTGCCAGAGTTTTGCCAAATCCCCATCCACTGTTTAGAAATATATCAAAATGTCATTCTCATTCATCTCTTGCTTTAAGTTTCAGTTGGTTACATTATTTAAAAAACTTGTCATGTATGTTGTCAATAGTGCATGAGACAGATAACATGTGAAAAATGATAATGTTCCTCTGCTTCCCCCCAGTGCTCCTAATGGCAATTGCAAGATTTCATTGCAGTTTCAACACCTGCTTGTACATTTTTATTAAACTGTCAAACCCAGCAACGTTGATCAAATATGATACAGTAATCTGTAACTGTATTGTGTATCCCTTGCCTTAAATGTTTAGCTGTGAAATTAATACGTTTTGACCCAGCCGACATGCTGGGAAAGAAAACGCAGTTACAGAATCCTTATTCATATTTGATCAGTACCTAGTTTGACAGTTTACTAGAGTTCACAAGCAGTGATTTACACTGTGTGAAGCTCCTCGGTTTTGATTGGCTGTTTCTCTTCAGTGCAGGAGAATCTTCCAAATGCTATTTAGAGCGCTGGTGGGAGGCAGAGGAACATGAGTTTTCACATATTATCTGTTTCATGCACTACTGTCAGTATACATTGACAGTTAATATGAAGAAACATATTTTCAATAGAGTTACCAACTGTAGCTTCACGCAAGTCTTGTACGAGATGAAATCCTTGGAGTATTAGAGTTGAGATTCCTGGGATTTGGCAGACTCTGATGGTAAATTAGCAGTCTCTTGCAGTATTTCCCTCTGTGTATTCTCCTCCTTTAAGCTGCTGCCCTCTCTGTCTCCCTCTTCCACACTGAGCATTGCCCTATAGTATTCTCTCAATTCACACTCCACACCAAACATCAGTGTATTCATTGGATACAACTATTATTATATGAGAAGGCAAACAGTGACAAAAGCTGATATACAAAGCAACACAAAACAGAGGCCAGTGTAACTGTCAATATGTCACACCAATGTATCAGGCTATTTAAGATTGTATGTAGTGGTATTGAACTGTGGCCATGCAGTGATGTGACATACTTTTAGAGAGTGTGTTAGTGTGTTGGTATTCTGTATATATAATTGTTTTTGAGCGTGCTAATGCCATGGTGTTTTTGACAGTTTTGTCCCTTTTCATTATCAAGCCAGGTCAAGTACTTCCTGTAGCAAAGTCCACTTAGATTTGCTACTGTAAAGCGTTTTTTCCGTGTGACCAGTATAGTCCTTAATGCAAACCAATGATCTCTAAATACTTTTTCAGTTGCACTATATCAAAAATCTCGTGAGAGGAGCTTTAAGGCGTACTAAATAGTTGTATTTGGTTTAAAGCCAAATGCATGTGGTCCATGGGAATTTACTACATTACTGGTTTTAGACCAAGGTTAAATCAGCACACTTTCCCCCGAGATTAGCTGTTACGCTGCGTCCGCTCCCCGCCTCCAGCAGCTCCCTGTGATGACCCTGTCAAAGATGTCCCTCTGACAAGCCTCCCTGTGTAACGTCCAGGTGAGTCCCCTGTCCTGCCAGCCCTCTGTCAGCCAGCCTGCTCTCCCTCTCTGTGTGCTGCTGCTGCTGCTGCTGCTGCTCACTGACTTCCTGTCTGTGTTTGGCTTCGTGTTGCTGCTTCAGTCTGACTGTGTGTCCCTCTGTTTGCTGGCTGATTCAGGACTATCTTACCTTCTTTTGGTTTGCTCTGCCTGGTTCTACTGTTTAAAAAGATGTATCTGGTGCCATCTGCTGTTACACGAATGAATAACCCTTCTACTTTTTTGGTGAATAGCAGGATGGTCTGCACGGCATGACTGGATAAAACTCATGCTCTGCATCACGATACATTTGCATAATATCTTCATCACTGGGTGATTCTTAAGTAACACTAGACATTATGAGTGACCTTATTAATCCAATGAGGTTTGCATGGAACAGTTTTAAAAATCGAGAAGTGAACAGAAGAGCTTTTTATAATAAAAATGTTAAGACATGTAAGATCTCGTGTTTTGCTGCACATGCACATGTTTAATATTATCTTCATACACTATATCATCTTCCCTCTTCTTTTCTTTTCAGATTAGGCGCTGGAGCCACTTTTGATACCAAGACGGCAGTGGAAGGTCACTAGAGAAGTGCCCGCCACCACGTGAAGACAGTGTTAATGTTGCACTTATTACCTTTCTGTGTCATTTAAAATGTATTGTGTAAATGCAGTACCCAAACAGTCTCCTGACAGAGTCTGGCTTCCATTTATCTACATGTCTTTTGGAACCTTTTAAATAATAATGATGTACTTTTCTTTCTGAATGTATTCTTTGTTCGTCAATTTATTGACCTGTGTTAAAGAAATGCCATATGTTGGAAAGACTCTCCTCTCATACTGTGTGAAGCTGATTTGTGCCTTGAGATTGTAAACAAGAGGGTAATAAATTAGGAAAAAGACTCGATACATATTAAGTGAGCTGACAGTCGGACTTGTTCTATCAGAAAGTACATATTTGAAGGCAATAGCAATACAGCGAAATTGAGTCTGGTTGATATTGTTTAGATTTAGAAAAACGAGGTGGCATGTTATTGTGCTGGTACTCACATTTGCTTTTCTTACTTTGTTTTGTATTAGTCAAATTGTTTTCACTTTGACTTCTGTCTGTTTACTGAAAAACATTTATGATCTGTTAAAGATCTCAGTTTGGCCCTGTAATGAAACAGAATGCAATGTCATATAAAACCATTAGATGGCACCATTGAACACACAATAACTGTACATAGGTGACATCAATGTTGACTTATTGGTATCATCTGCTCTGTTACTCTTTGTATGTGTATTTCTGATTATTACTATGCTCCTTCTAAGTGCACAGAGTATTAATTATTTCTGCCAGATAAAATAACCAGGATGAGTTTGATATCAACCACTGCCAACATTAGATTTTAGGACTGCCACAAACACAAACAGCTGTACCTCAGTCACTTGTTTACTCTACTCAGACATACCAAAAGGTTGGTGTTCTTTTTCAACACAAAGACTAAGAAAACTGTGTATAGGCTCCTAAAAGGGTTAAGTTTCCCTTTCAGCACCACTGTCAGATGATGAGTTGATCTCATTTTCTAGCATTTGACTTTTAAATGACTAAGTGACTTAAACTTGTTGATCAATCTTGAATCCCTGTGTTAAAGCCATCTAGAGATTTTTCAACATCCTTATTAATGTATCATATCAGAATTGTTATGATTTCGCTCACTTTCAGTCATTTATCACACAGTGGATTTATTTCATATTTGAGCCAAAACCTTACACCATATTCTGTGTTGCTGTAGTATAATTGCATGCTGCAGGATCTCAGGTTAAAAAGTCTGGTTTCTTTCAGATATATTCAATTTGTGCATTTTTATTAAAAGCCATATTTCTCTACCAGATGATAAGGTACTGGTGCTGAAGATGTCAACTTTTAAATTTGCTCAAAACTACCATCTAGAAAAATTAGATGTTAACTGTGTAGTAGGTAATTCTCTGTGTAGTAAAGCCATGTTGTGAATAATACAGTGAATGTGCTGTTAATTTATTCTTTACAAAACAACTTAAAAAATGATTATGTCTGTGAAAGAACACATGTGATGTGTTACTGTTGTTCATTAGGCAAATGAATAAATAAAATGACACCAGTTCCAACTGTGGTTGTGTATCTCTTTCAGTCTTTGGAGGTAAGTTTAATGCAATGTTGAAATTCCTCACTTGTCCTTCATCACTGATAAAGACAAATCCTTCTCTCTGTAGCCTGGAGTCCAATGTTCACCAGGGCGATTGCTACGAGGTGTCCCAATGATTACACTGCTCAAAATGTGTGTTTTAAATTGAAATCTGTAGCTCCTTATCAACGGTACACTGATCACATCATCCTGCCAATACCCTGAGCAAACGTTTAGGAGCATTCCCTTTGTCTTATAAGCATGTAAAGGGTTGTTTTCTTCCCCAGGTGTGTGTATGGTATATTTTTCTACACTGCAACCCTGTTCACTGTCTGTTAGGTCCCAAGGTGACGAGGTGAGGCTGTCCGACTCTGATATCCAGCGGCAATGGTGCGGCATCTCAATGATCCCGACCACACCCAGCGACGCCAGTGGGGAGGCCGACTCAGTCCCCGGAGTGACTCTCATTAAGTCCTTTGATACTGTTGGACCGAGTGAGCAGCGAGCACCCCAACACACACACAGACACACACAAATGGAATCCCAACACAGCAGTGTAACTAGAGGAGAACAGCTGGTGAGATCTCCACTGGACTCATATGTTTCTGCTTCAAAGTCATGTAGTTGTGAAAGACAGTGGGGGCTGACCTCTATAAACAAAAAGGGAACATTATAGGTATCATAATGGTAGATTTTATTCCAGATGTTTTTTGCATTAGGCTGTATGTCATATATGTAAGGCTGGGTACTTAATCTAAAAGTACCTTATGTGCCTTGTAAAAATACCACACTGTAAAATACCACTGTTAAAATGTTACTCAAATAGAAATATATACAGCTTCCTCTGGTATCGTGACAGTCTCCTCTCCCACCTTATCCTTTAATTGTAAGTAATTGTACCATACTGTAAAAATACTAAGACTTCAACTTAACTGCCGAATATTTAAATTATTGACCTCATTGATTGTTTTATTTTCACAAATACTGGGAATGTTGAATACATTTACAATTACCTAGAGCCCAAATTTGCTGACAGCAAAAAGCCCAACCCTTAACATTACAAGTTATACTATGACATTTTTAAAAGGAAATTCACAATATTTTCGAATTTATGAAGCTGGAACCATGAGATGTTTTTACACCAAAAAATTACTGACCAGCCAAAAAAGTTGCTAATAGCTGAAACAAATCAGTACATTTACTAATTGAATGACTCTTGTACATACTTTTAAGCTGACAATATACGTATTAATTGACTCATTTTTTTTTCAATCTTTTTATTTACCCTTTGAATGTTTTGAAACAAATGCAATAAGAAGTTCAATGTTTCCCTTTGCCATGTGGTTGAGTAGAAATGCAAAACATGTCAAAGAAATCATTACAAATATATACTGAAGTAAAGTTCAGCATTTGATTAAAGTTCAGTTACATTCCGCTATGGCACATTTCAGTTTTTTTTGTATACAATCCTTAATTTGTATGTGCTCTTCAGATGGGCCCAGCCTCACAGTTCAGATGCACTCCAGCCCCAGAAGCCTGCTGAGTGGGATCTCTGTACGCTCTGCACCTGCTGCTGCCGTCTCCCCTATCCAGGTACACACAGTATACTTTCCTTAAAATGTCAAATAAATGAAACACTTATTCTCTGTTTCAGACTGATGAGATCTTTCTTCTGTTTCTGTTTTTTTAGAGACAGACGTACATAAAGCCGCTATCCAAGACATTGGAAAAGAGAATCAACCATGGAGAATTCTCTCTTCATCATGGTATGTACCACAGAGATGGTTTTAGCTGGAAGTCATGGGGTTTCATGTATATGTGTATTATACCTCATTTAGCAGTCTACTCACTCACTGCCTTAGAGTCAATGGACAGCCAGCAGGAGTACTGCTGAGTTTAGGAATGAGCAAGGCTAAAATGTCTACAGAGTTAAATAATAAGAGGAGAAAAGATGAACAGTAATTCGACTGCTGTTGTTCTTGTCTGTCGTTTCATGATTGTATTCTCAGAAAGAAAACACTGTAAATAAAAGAAATCCCAAAGGCTACTTTATTAAAACGATGATGTAAACTTGAAAATGATTCAGAAGGAGGAGATTCTGAAAATGAAATCTCAAATGCAAATTAGATTTTCAAATGGTTAAAACATTTCTAACAGTTACTTTGGTGATATCAATATAATAAAATTTTCTAATTTGATTTACCAAGTCTTTAAAAATAAAATATCAATCAGCTACCCAATAACATTTACACACTTACACATGTAAAATTATTATGCTTTTTGGGAGTTTCATTTTTTAGTTACCATTTTAATAAAGTCCCCTATATCAAATGTCTGCAACTCCAATCGACTGGTGTTCCATCTCCTTTCTTAATAAGGTGACTGTAACTTGAGCACCAAAGCACTGAATATAAATGATTTTCAATGGACTGCCAAGTGCTTCCGTTAGAAAAACATGTCCGGGTAGAGGTGCCTGTCATTACAGAGGTGGCATCTTGTTTGCGCTTGTGGCATTGATAAGAGGGGCTGTTGCTGACAGCCTTTTTTTCTTTTTTTTTAATACACCTCAAATTGTGCTTAGGTCTAAACATTTTCACCAGACATTATGATCGGAGTGACTTGAATTTGTCAGACTTCAACTACATCTTTTGGTCAAACCGCGTAAACACTGGTTCTGCCATATTTAGGTGAAACGGTTGCATCACTGATTCCATCGGCCTTTTCTGAAGCTAAAATAACTTTTCAAGCATATCTTTGTGTGGAAGGGCTTGTTCAGGTACGACAGAGGCAGATCATTTTTGGATATTTTGTGGACTAGCCTAAAAAAGAAAGTGACCCCAGTCAGGACACCTGGACTACAGAGTCATACTATTGTTAAATCAGCCCTAAAGTTACCACTGATGAATTTGCATTCCATGTTATATATATTATGATCCCTCCTCTTCAAGTTTTCTCCCCTGCATCCTTCACTCCCCCAGATAAGTTGTCGGGCTGCGGGGAGGACCTGAAACCTAACAGCCTGATGAGGAAGAGCCCTTCTCTGGAGTCTGTGATCAAAACCTCTGCCTCCTTCAGCAGCCGCACAGCCTCCTTCAGCTACAACCGAGGAAACAGCAAGCTGAGGTGTGCTAAATGGTGTTTATGGGATTTACTTTAGGGCATTTAGCTTCTTTAGCTACGCGGTTTCATTCGAAGAGGGAGAAAAAACCTCCCTTTCTTTGGAAATGAACACAATATAATGACTTCTCCACATGATTGTAGAAATTCACAGGAGTTCCAAACTGAAAGGTGGGAAGTTAGTTCTTAATTTGTGCGGTCTTTAACAGAGGTCAAACACAGACAAACCAAACAAGTGCAACAAAACAGGCAGTGCAACAATGACTGACTGTACATAAAAACAGTTTCAGTTCTTCCTCTTTTTTTTAAACAAGTTCCCCTCTGACATCCTTGACAACAGGTTATAGTGTTAATACACATTTGACTTAGCAGCCTTGTTTCCCTTTAAGGTAACCACATATTCTACTGCAATTGCATTTTAAAGTTTAACAGATACTTTGCAGTTGTCCAACTTGTATTGCCAAGGTGTTGACACAGAGTGCTTAAATGAAGTGTCCACTTATCAGAAAGGAATGGGAGACAGATGTTAAACAAACATGCTGTCATCTTCTGACCTTTCTGGCAAACAGGCTTTTGTCATTTTACTGTAAACAATCCCTTAAGTGAGCACTCAGAAACCAATAGCAGCACCCCATTTATAGTTAGACCCATGGTACCACTGCAACAAGTTGCATTAGAGGGAGATGACGCAGTGTTTACATTTACATGTAGTCACAGAGACTCAGTAAAGTTGATTTAAGCAGTCATCACTCTGGACAACACCCTCAGCTTCAACCTACATATGATGATATGACATGATGACATCAAACACTGTACTGACAGATATCAGGAATCTGGAACCTGTTTGTCCAGCCTCTCCTCTTCTCCCTCTGCTACCATCATATTAATGAGCTGTCTCCTCCTCACCCATCTGTATTTACATTGTTATTGTCCTTGGCAGAATACGTTTTTTCGGATCCTTTAATTAATAAAAAGTAATAAAACCATACCGTTAAGTGATATTTATATATTAAATAATATATATATATTTTAAGTAAGGTCAGCCTTTGAAAATGTTACTTTAGTAAAATTATGTAGTGACTCTTATTGCTATATTAAATTCTTAGATTATTATTAGGCTTTCATTTTTTAGTTTTAGTTGGATGAGGTTAACATTTTAAGATTGCAACTAATCTGCAGATCATTTTATGCATTATTGTATTAGGTTTCTAAACGTTTCATTCATCCATCCATCCACCCGTTCATCCACCTGTTCATCCATCCACCCGTTCATCCATCCACCCGTTCATCCACCTGTTCATCCATCCACCTGTTCATCCATCCACCCGTTCATCCACCTGTTCATCCATCCACCCGTTCATCCATCCTTTCATCCATCCATCCATCCACCCGTTCATCCATCCATCCACCCGTTCATCCATCCATCCACCCGTTCATCCACCTGTTCATCCATCCACCCGTTCATCCATCCTTTCATCCATCCATCCATCCACCCGTTCATCCATCCTTTCATCCATCCATCCATCCACCCGTTCATCCATCCATCCACCCGTTCATCCATCCATCCACCCGTTCATCCATCCATCCACCTGTTCATCCATCCACCCGTTCATCCATCCATCCACCCGTTCATCCATCCATCCACCCGTTCATCCATCCGTTCATCCATCCATCCACCTGTTCATCCATCCGTTCATCCACCCGTTCATTCATCCATCCATCCACCCGTTCATCCACCCGTTCATCCATCCATCCACCCGTTCATCCATCCATCCACCCGTTCATCCTTCTGTTCATCCACCCGTTCATTCATCCATCCATCCACCCGTTCATCCACCCGTTCATCCATCCGTTCATCCATCCGTTCATCCATCCATCCATCCACCCGTTCATCCATCCATCCACCCGTTCATCCATCCGTTCATCCACCCGTTCATCCATCCGTTCATCCCACCCGTTCATTCATCCATCCATCCACCCGTTCATCCATCCATCCACCCGTTCATCCATCCATCCACCCGTTCATCCATCCATCCACCCGTTCATTCACCTGTTCATTCATCCATCCACCCGTTCATCCATCCATCATCCACCCGTTCATTCATCCATCCATCCACCCACCCTCTCACATATTGACATATTATGTGTTTCTGTAATGCAGATCATGGGGCAGGCCTTTTTAACAACATCAACAGCACATCTGTACATTACCGTGTTTGGTATGATTTCAGGGTTATGATATAGCTGCTCCATCTCTACTGATGCACTCTCACCCCCCCCTGCAGTATTTATTTGAACAGGGTCTTGCTGCCTCTGGCCTTGCACTGCGCTGAACAGAGGACTAATGAATTTGACAGCAGAGCTGCCGTGACGTGTGAAATGTTTACCGTGCTCAGAGCAACGACCGTGCCTCAGCACAAACCCCAGGGAGCAGGCCCTCTGTGAAAATATAACTGCAGATAAACATTTCACAGATTTGTTGTACCTCTCTTAATTGTGTCTTATAACAGTGCAATCAATATAGTGTAAATAAATATGTGAGCATGGAAACATGGAGTTCAAAAATGAAAAATAAGAAAGTGAGGAATTGATGCCAAAAAAGAAAAGCCTGTGCTAATGCTTGACATCCCTCACTTAAAGCCAAAGTGTACACTAGATTGTTGTTGGCTTCCGTCCAAAGTCATCTTGAGCCAGCTCTGGGCTAACACAAATACACTGAACTGTAATGTTAATACAAGATCAAATAGTTCACTTTGCTGATGGTTTTCATAGAGGGAGCATTTACAGATTACATGTAAAGTGAATAAGAACAAAGAATGGTATGAATGGATAACTTTCGTTCTTTAATACAATTACATATTTTCATTTTTCTCCATCATGGAAAATTGGTTTGATCACAACAAGGACCAGCCATATGACATTGTTGTAATGATTTTATTTCATCAAAAAAAAAATATTTGGTTATATTGTTGAATGTTCTATAAAGCCTCCTCACAAACCATTAGGTCCACATGAGCCTTAAAACAATAACACAATGTTTGCTTGGCTCGCAATCAGTTGAGCAAAAATAATACATTCTGATTATTTACATACATACAGCTACTGTAACTCAAACAAACTATTTTACAGAAAATATTCCCATATTGCTACAAGTTGTGAGACGTTAGCCTTACATAATGGTTGTGTGGGACTTTTAATAAAAATAGGAAAAAATGCTTGATCATGTTTACATTTCTCAAACATCTCTGCCTTCTGGCATTCAATCTGCCTCACATAAAACAAATACACACAGTATTTGCACTCAAGCAAAACCCAGATGCTGCTTATCTCATAGTTCTACATATGGGCTTCAATGTTGAAATGCTATTTATTCACATAGATTGGCCTACTTCCATCCACCAGGCACCTGACATACAGTATGTTCATAAGTTCATCAATTATTGGCTGAAAGTCCTGAACTGTAGCCATTTTCAGAATGGAGATGTTTGTCTGAGAGGTTGGATCTGTGTGCGGACATTTTTAATTTTCATTACAGAGAACATATGCTCACAAGAGTGAGTGCTCTGGCCCGTCGTTAAGCTACAACCGGCCAAGTAAAGTATAGGGACACAAAAACTGATATTCTGACCCGTTTAAATGTGTCGCATTTTGAGCGTTTTATCTTCACCCCACTTTCTTCTTTATCACACTAGAAAATCCTGCTTTTACATAAGGTATTTATTTTTTATTTAACATATATTAGTATAACAGTCACATGGGAAATATTTCTGCATTCAGTACTTTTACTTTGAATACTTTAATGATATAACTGATTATATTAAAAAATTGCATACCTTTACCTAAGTAACATTTCAAACAAGTATTTTACTTTTTACTTAAAGGATAAGAAAACTTCTTCTACAACTACAGTGTAAGGTTGTTTTCAGCTGGTTTCCCTTTTGTGTGTAAAGAGTAGGCTACTCCTTACCTTTTTTAACTTTGCTTATCTAAAAGATTATATTTATAAAAATAGCAAAGAGTACAATATACATTTTTGGAACGAAACATTTGTTTTAACATCAGAGCCATTTTGCATCTTGATTGTGGGGAAGCCATCAGATACACATTCTGGTGATGCATTTTCTAAAGCTGATTAATTGTTTTTACTATGTTTTCTGACTCTGATACAAGTGAAACAATGTTTAGCCATGAATAAACGAATCGCCAGAATATATTTTTTCCCTTGCCACTTAATGCTTCCACACATGGTCAAATTGTTTCCTACATTTGGCTGGAAACATGTTAGTTAATTGAACACATTCTTATGAAAAGAGTAACTACTTACAGTTGTTGTATAATCACAGTGTTTATTAAGCTAACCTCAAGTCTATATGCATAAATCTGTGTAAAGATGGGAAGATAATAACAGTTTTTAGGGGTAGCCAAACTATACACTTATCTTTCTCCGATATACACTTATCTTTCTCCGAATGACATACTGTACTGTAACCCCCCTTCTCTCTCACGTTTCCCCGGTGACAGTGTGGAAAGAAAGGACCCCTTGGCTGCACTGGCGCGGGAGTATGGAGGATCTAAGAGAAACGCACTACTGAAGTGGTGCCAGAAGAAAACAGAAGGCTATCCGGTAGGGATCACAGGCCAGAGCCCTCCTTCAAATACAAGTCGGGCTCTTTTTACTTTCACACCCTGCTGTCCTTTGCATCTTCATTTCAGTCTCACACTTCTTAGGTTTTTATCTAAAAGTAAGATGGCAGCTCGCATCTCTCTCCCATTTATATTGCAGTATTGGGTTGCCCTCAGGTAGCTTTTTCAGCCATCATTGAGGAGTTAGAGTGGCATATTACAGTGTTAGCAGACACATCATTCACCCAGCTGTCATCTCACTGCGGATCTAAAGCCACTGTGGCACAGAGGTTATGGAAACAGTGATGCAAAGCACCCAGTGTTACAGACACACTGGATTTATACATGCGTGTTTTTATATAGCCCTTCGTGTTTTTATGCATGTCCACCTGTTTATGCATTGCTATCGTGTTGTGTCCCCATCTGTGTTCCCTGTGTCCATGGAGCCAAGTGCCGACAATCACCTGGTTTAGCTGCTCCCCTAATACCCAGTTTAAGGAGCCCATTAAGCCCAGTGGGATTACAGATTTGTAATCATCGTGTTTATGTGCCAGCAGCATGCCAGAGAGCTAATGCTAAACTCTAAACACAAGACTGGTCCCAACCTGAAAACTCTAGGTCAGGAAGAAAAGAAGGCATTTGAGCCCACTCAGCTTTCTGATGGGAGATTAATGAAATGACTCTCTGGAGTCAGCTTCAGTATGAAAAGGCACCGTTCGATGAATACTTCTAAAAATAGATGCCGCTTTACTGGTGATAAACGGTAACAAAAATGCTATTAGTCAGCAGATCAATAGTTCCTGTTGCTCGAGCACGATGCGGCTCAGTGAACTTTGAGTCACCCTCCCTTCATCTGAGGTTGTCGGCTGTTTTTGATGGTCACACACAGCGCGTGTTGGTAAAAATACGGCAGATCCTCTGTGATGGAAATATCAGAGCAGATGAGATAAAACTGCTGCTGACGGACAGTGTCTGATGAGCTGCCTGATAAGATGCTGGGGCTGTTTACAGCCTGACATGAATCACGCCGTTCAGATTCACACCCCTTTGTTTGACATGGATCTTTGGGAAGCAGGAGCTTAGTAACGCTGGCTTGTGATGGAAGGTCACTGGTTCAGTACACAAATTGAGTGCTAAAGTAATAATAGAGGAATATTTTAAGTAAATGTTATCAAATCAAATCAAAGTTTATTTATAAAGCACATTTAAAAGCGATTTTTGGTCGGGCCAAAGTGCTGTACATGTAATAAATACTACAATCACTTAAAAACACATTACTACATTCATAATAAAAGACAATAAATTACAACAGATATATATAAGTTACGCGAGAGTTTGAATATTTTGATATCAATCAAAGGCTTTATTGTCATATGCAGAGTAGCTACAGTGTATATATGGCAATGAAATCATCTCAAACTCCCCCAACAATTAAATATAATATATATTAGACATAAAACAATAACATCAAATAAAGGAGTATGTTGCGAGACCAATGTGCAAGTAATGCAGATGAAGTAAACTACAAACATGTTGGCAAAAAAGAAAAACAATAAGCTAAATGTTGCAGAGAATGTTGTAAGTGACCAAGTAGATGCAGGAGTCTATATACATATGTATAGGGAATAAGATAGACAAGAACAGAATGTAAAATTAAATATTGTTTATTGTAGTTATAAACAAATTGTAAGATGCAAACGGATGAATGCTTTAGGTTATGAAGGCACTTAACAGACCTCTAAAAACTGTAGTAAATATAGTTTTGCAGATGGCCCCCCTTTACTGTACATAAATTCACCAAGACATGTCTTCCTTCTTAATCCACTGACAGTTTTTTATTCAAGAATTCAAGGTCATACTTGGTAAAACATTGATATACAAATGATCATTATGTGGGAGAAGTATTCCTTTAAGAACTTCTATTCAAAGTGCTACAGAGGACGCCATTAAATGAATAAAGAAAAAGTTGCTAACAAGAAATGTAATCAGTCATCATTGGTAAACGCTCTAACATCAAGTGAAGTCTTTATCCCTGTGACATAAATGTAGTGGAGTAGAGTTGAAGTAGTACAGTACTAATGACTGAGCTTAGTTACTTTCCAGACCCTGCCTACATGTAAATGTTCTGTTTTTGCAAATCTCATTTCAGCTCAGGACAATTGGGTACAGCGACATGAAACCCTTAGTGGAGCCTCATTCCCATTTAAGTATGGAACCTATGATCCCCTCTCACAAAGGGTTTAGCAACACAGTGTGATTATTTGCAAGAATCAGGAATGCAGTAAGAAGATTTGACTGCTAGGAGAGTTTCTGTCGGTGGAATAAACACTCCCCGCCCAGAGTAGCTGCTTGAGCTGCGATACTTCGTGTTTGTGCATTTTCATTTATTTATCCATCCTGTAATTTGATCTATATACAGACTATTAGGTAGTAGTGAACCTTTTCAACATCTATTTTTAGAACAAGTGTGACTGCCACTTTATTGTGTTGCATAAGAAAAATGGATAATTTGCATATATGTATATATCAATGTCTGTGCCAAAAACAAACGGTATACATTTATTACAAATAACGTTTGGAGGGTTACTCTTAAAATGTGATCCTTTAATTTAATCAGTAACCTAATCTAAGCATCACAATATAAATGTAATGTAACCTGATTGCTTTACGTTACTTTTGGATTACCTTAATACCAATGCAAATAAATACAAGGGATAAGCAATATCAATTTTTAAGTGTATTTATAGATCAAGAGAACAAAGAAAAATATATTAGGTTTAGAAAATGAGTTCTCTGCTCTGTTTCTTTTCGATCAGAAAATTCTCCATTTGTGTTTAAAACATACAGTAGATGGTGAAATGTAACCACTAAAGTCTTTCTTTTGTTACATTGTAATCCCAAAATGTAGGGAAATGTAACAGTAATCTGATTACCCTGTTACTTGTTATCTGTTACGGTACGTCCACACGGCAGCATTGCGTGCTTCAACGGAGACGCTTCCCATTCACTTTGAATGGGGTGACGTCACGCTTTGCCGAACTGCATTGTGGTTCCATCGCATCGCTTTGCCTCCGTTGCTTGCTTCGAAAGTTAAGAAAAGTTCAACTTTTCAAGCGTCGACGGAAGCGTCAGCCAATCAAATAATATGCCAGTACAAGCTCTAGCCAATCAAACCGCGTGCTTGTGTGTCCGGGGCAGGAGATTAATGTGATTGGTTGTTGGTCGCATGCCAGGTTAGGTTAAGTCTTAACCTAACGGCTCCGCGGACGTAAGGTAAAGGGCTCCACGGATTGGTCCATTTGGGTATGAGCACATCACTGTACCCAGGAAGAAAAGGAGAAATCTCCAACGAGGCGTTCTGGGGCAGCATAGACAGGTATTTTCTGTGTTAGAGTTGTACTCGCTACAGGGTGTACTTTGAGGGTTTGTGACTTTGCAGACCGTTTACATCAGGGGTGTCAAACTCAAGGCCCGGGGGCCAAATTCGGCCCGCGACTTCATTTTATGTGGCCCCACCAGAGCTTGCAAAGAATATAATATGTTTGTTATACGGTTACATGGCGATTTACAGAAGCACGTTGCCCATACATGGAGCACAATGCATCTGAAATTAGACTTTTTTTTCTCAGAATTTGACTTTTTTTCTTCTAAATATGCATTTTTTTCTCAGAATTTGCCCTTTTCTCAAATTTTACTTTTTTTTCAAAATGTCACTTTTTATTTTTATTTTGCTTTTCTTTTTAAAAAAATCATTTTGTGACATTCTCACTGAAGAGACTTGCAACTATTTGCCCTAGACTTCTGCTTTCAGACCGAGTTAATTATGAAGTTATTACCCTATCCGATAACAATCCAATGCAGAGGCAATAATGTAATATATAATACATTATTTTATATATATTAAATATTCATATATGTATTTTGATATAGTCTTAAAGTTACAACCGGCCCTTTTAAGTGCAACCATAATGCGAATGTGGCCCGAGATGAAAATGAGTTTGACACCCCTGGTTTACATAAAAACCTTCATAACACACAAGGGGACGGGTTATAACCGGAAAAGCATGACATGGGACCTTTAAATCAGACTTTAGTTACACCTGGAGTAAATTCACAAGCTGCCCTGCAGTATACTACTTTTACTTAAGTACTTGATCTGAGTACTTCTCCCACCTTACACGTAATTGGGGCAACAGAACTCTGAGTTAAGAAAGTTGAAAACGGTGCATTTCTCCGTATGAATATGATGCCTTTTGGCCAGCTGATGGACAGATTGCTCGTGTTTCCGCGAAAATACTTATGGCAAACGAGACGAAGTCCCTCCCGGTGGACTTCCATGGGTCCTTATTTCGGAAAAATTATGTATTGAAGTCAATGGCGAGAGAAAACGTATCTTTCTATCCCGTTTGAATTATGCCACGAATTACACATATGATGTTTGTCAATTTAAAAGATAATTTTGCAAGTTTAAAAAAAAATGCCGTAAAACTGTGAACTAAGACTTTTTTTGTGTGAAACCGCTGAATTACATCTCTGGTCTCGCACAACAACACACGTCACCAAGATGGCCGTCACTACTGTCTTGCCAAAAAAGGGATTGACTACCCTCACTATCACCACAATGACTGCGTTTCACTTCTCTTATTTTTAATTTCCTCGCTCCTCGGTCTCGGTCTCATCGGAAGTTGATTTGTCTGCGCCATCTTGAGTAGCGTCCCAATGGCTTTATTCTTACCGGAGGAGCGAGGAGCGATAATGGAGGAACCACCAGACCATCCTTCGATGAAATCCTCAGACACTCGCCCCGCCCCCTTACTGTGTATCGCTCACTGATTGGACGATGCAGTGCATTCACTGATCTGATGCTTCTTGACATGAGAGCAGTTTCCCAGCGGAGTGAAGAAAATACATGAATCTCACGAGAGTCACTCCTCAGTTTATACCGTGTTTTGTTTCAATTAATGTATCATTTAGTTACAAATATGTGATATATCTGAACAA